AGGACCTCTATATCGACCTAATTTTATTTCCTTATTTATTTTTTCCACTCTCTGTGAGATATGATATGAATAATTATATGCAGTATTCTTTTTATGATGAGGTTATAATCTTGATTGAATATAAAAATGTTTTTTACGACTGCATTTATGTGGTTATATCTTAAAATAATCAAAATGTAGTTCTAAAAAAAATATGATATGGTTAAACACCCAAAATCTAGTTGATTCAAGATCAATACACTCCTGTCAATCATTGAAAAAAAAAACAATAGGTTTTAATGGATATTTTTCCCAAAGAATTAAATTACAGAAGTTTCCATTACCACGCGTTTTATCTTTGTATTATTATATATAGGGATACAACCTACACTGTGCATTAATTATTGTCCGACTTTCTTTCCTTCAATGTCTATATTCATTATGAAAATGGCATCGGCCATCCAAACTTACAAACTGTCACTAGCCAGTCGCCCACTGTTACACCTATGCCGCAAGATCTGCTGTCTTTATTTGGCAACCTGTCCTCACGCTCTATATTTATATATACTTTATATATATTTATATACATATATATATATATATATATATATATTTATATTTAGATATAATATATTTCTTCCTTATTCTTGTCATTCATCCAGGAAGGAAATTAGAAAATCTGGTTGGATAGGCTGTCTAACCTTGGTCAGAATACAAGGAAAAGAGAAATGAAACCTGGGTGGAGGAATATTTTGAGTCTTTATTTTACTTTTGTATTGACATTTGGATACGGTACGTTATATTTATACACATTTCTCCCTTGGAAGAACTTTTTTTTATCAAATGTTTAAACTTTCACTTTCATAATATTTTCAGTTTGAGTTCCCCTTTAATATCAACATGCCTGTGCCAATCATATCCATTCAATCTAATTAAAACCCACTCTAAAAAAAAGTTTTACTTGTTTTTAAAATAAGATATTAGATTGATAAAAACTAGCAATTATTTGTAATCCATTTAGTCAGAATAGCAAGTAAATGACTATCATGGTTAGTAATTGTAAACATAATTAGTAATAAGGATGAATTCATTTACTTATAAAATGATTTACTAAGTATCAATAGAATTACTTAAACTATAGGAGTTACATTACTTAGTAAATGAACTACTCATTTTTGGTAAATTATTATTATTACTTAATTTAGAGATACTGTAGATGTACTTTTTTCCACGGGGTCATAATTCCGCGGAATCGCAATTTCTTTTTAATCCGCGGGTAGAAAATTACGCGGATTTTCTAGACTGTCATTATATGCCTTACATTTATATTAAGTACGCTTGGAAAAATTTCTGCGGAAAATTTGTGGCTGCGTACATAGCGTAAATAAATACCACGCGGAAAATGTACTTCTACAGTAATATGCTTTCTATGTACAAAATTTAATGAATTATTACTAAGTAAATGTAATTTACTTATCATACTTACTAAAATCGACATTATTTACTAGAAACACTGCAAGGTATTGACCCTCTGATAAAAGAGATAACTTTGAAAGTTCAAAATGTGAGTATTACTCACAGTTTTCTTGATCAGAGTTCTTTATTGTGCCCTCTGAATTGTCAATACATATGATGGAAACAATACTTTCCGTTTCTTTTGCCATCAAAAGCTTGATATAAATTGAATAAGTTGTATCTTTTTAAGGACCATTTTAAAAATTGTTTAATGTTTCAAGTACTTTAATACAGCATTTTTAGTATGACTTTTTTTCACATGAGGGAATATTTAGAAGAAAGATAACTCCTTCTCACAGACAATTAATATGCATAGAAGCCAAAATAATATATAACATTTCAAGAATTCAATCCTGATAGTAATTAGACTACCATATTTAAGTAATTATTTGTACTGCAACTGCTCTGAATTCTCTTTGATTCAGTAAATAAATTATTCATACAGAGAAAAATGACACAAAACTCAATATAGAATTTATACTTATTTATTGTGGCGAGTATTGGCCGTTGCACAATACAAAATTGTGGGACGCCATTTCAATTGGGCGAACCCACCAAATTCAAACATCAACAATGTGTGTTTCTTTTTTCTAACCGTCTCGGGTTAACCATGGAGGGTCACACATACAAACTGTTCAAATCAATCAACCAATCAATCAATAAGTCATATTTCAAATTCCAAATATCAAGCAAATCAACTTATTTTATCAAATCTTGTATATCATATATCATTAATATCTCAAACTTCATAGATCAAACATCTCAAACTTCAAATATCAACATTTTTCATATTTCAAACATGTACGATATAGTACACTTCTAAAGTATATATAACTTCACCAACAGTAAGCTTATTAGCTTAGTTTACACTAGCATTAGCATTTCAACAAGGTGACAGTTTATTACAAGTTTCACACAAACATTCAGTTATCAGTTGACTTGGTATGCGCAGACGCCACATGGCTGCAAGTTGGCACAGCTTGCAGTCACCCGACACATTGGGGGAAGCAAAGCAAGTCAACTGCCCCACGACCAATACTGCCAAGACCCCCCCCCCTTCCCAGCTAGATACTTGCACACATCTTGATTACTCGCACACATCTTGATTCCTAGATGTGCATGTCCTTCACCAGACTCAGAATAAAGTATTTTGAATTTCCCTTAATTTAGAAAAGGTTTTACAACACATAAGGCAATCAAACCTTACCAAATGCGATGTATCACACCTAATTCCTCAATGCCTAATAAAGCTTTGTCTTGTAGAAACTTACCTGTCTATTAATTCCTTCTGAAATGTCTGAGCAGCCTTGCAATGCTCTTTACCACCATGTTTTTCGTTTCTCCATTATTTAAGGCAAGCTAGATATAAATGGAATCAAAATTAAAGATCTGGGGTTTTTTAAAACCAAATAGGGGGAGTTTCACTCAAGAAAACTACCTATATCATACTTCCCGTTTAAAAATTGTTAGGAAAGCCATGTCCTGCTGTTAGAAAAACCCTAATTTTATATCTCCGAAGGTGACGCATTCACTTTCTATAATTAGCCAATTTAAGCAGAGCAATTTGAAATTCTTAATCATATTCCATTACAAGAAGGTACAACACTACTTAGTGATGGTTACAAATGCCTGTAAAAGACAATACTATCATTTTGGAAACATACTGATCTTGTTTGATGATATTGCTACAAAAGATACATTACCTGATACATGTAACAAACTTACTAGTATTCCAATTTTATATCATACTTACTAATTAAGCTGCCATGAAGATATTTGGCACTTTATAAATGCCATTTTAAAACTCGGATTTTTTGCCTGCAATTTCATTACCCATGCTTGCAATACTCGTGTACTCGACTAATCTTATTTATGTGCTAATTGACTAAGTCCCTTCCCTCTTACATAGATTCTTTCAACAAATATTATTAATGCCTGTGATACATGTATGTGCATCTGAGCTCTACAGCTCTATGATGACCACATTCTTCCACTACGTAGCCCAAAATGCATAGCAAAGTCTAAAATTCTCTAAGGTAGAGATGTTTGATTATTTATTACATCAAATGGAAATAGTAATGAGCCTGAATACACGTATTACATGTACTGCTATGAATATGTGCTTGATCCTTCTTAATAGTATTTTCATTAAAAACATACATCAATTGAAACTTGTTTTAAATGCAAGCCGAAGGGACAATACACAGTCTTAAGTTTTCAAATCTGCATAATAAGAACAGAGTTACAAAATATAAGCACCCTGTGAGGAACTTTTAATAGCCCGAACAATCATCATCTTAAAAATGAAGCCAAATGCACATTCAAGGTTGAGCAATCTGTATAAAATTCCAAAAACATATGAACTTCCTGTGAGAACTCTTCCGAAAAATAACTGATACATTGTTAGGGATTAAAGGAACTGATTTTGAATTTGAATTGATACATTATGTTGTTTAACCATGAATATGTCCCCCTTCCTCTTTTCACCTTTGTATTACTATATTTCAATCAATGACCATTTTGTTTCCAATTGATTAGCTAGGAAATGGAATCAATGACGAAAAAGCTCCAACAAATACAGACTTGAGAAAGCTACAACAAATACAGACTTGAGAAAGGCACTTTCCAGAGGATCATTGCTCCCCGACCCAAAGTTTTGATCTCCTTCCTTCTTAAAATCATCTATAATGAGTAGGATGCCCAATTTCAGTGTAAATCAATAAAAATTATGATATGAAACTGATCTTTTCACTTGCCTTATAAATATCAGGGGCTTTCATATCCTTACATAGTAATATTTCGTGAATACAAAGAACTAAACTCAAGGAAAATTGGGTGCATTTTAATAACTCTAACAAACTCTACTCTGGAAAAGATATGTATACTTCATTCTCCTTTTTCATTACATTCATCATAATTGTCAAACTTGAGATATATACTATGTCAGCCTGAAAAATGTTGGCAATAATGCCCAATAGTTTTGAGCCATGTTGAAATGCCTAACAGTTCTGAGTCATGATGTTGCAAGTAATGCCTAATAATTCTGAGCCAGGTTGTAAGTGATGCCTAATAATTCTGAGCCAGGTTGAGCCATGTTGTACGTAATGCCTAGTAGTTTTCAGCCATGTTGTATTTAATGCCTGATTGTTCTGAGCCATGTTGTAAATAATGCCCAATAGTTTTGAGCCAGCTTGATCCATGTTGTTAGTTATGCCTAGTAGTTTTCAGATATATTGTAGTTAATGCCTAATTGTTCTGAGCAATATGTGTTCGGATGATATTCTTTATCGCTGTTAAGTGTAGCGTAACATCCGAGTGGTCGATTTGACCTCTAACGAGACCAGCCTCGAGACCGTGCGAGATCTGCACCAGTTCCTGTAAGATTTAGACAGGAAGTAGATGTGTGTTTTGGGATTTATGCATTTAATGTAAGTAAAGCTCATTTTATTTGCCTTCATTCACTTGAACATTTTTTGCACATAAAATTTGATTCAATTAGTCTTCATTATTCGAATTCTATCACCTCAAACACATGAAACGAGAAACATTAAATCAGGTGCATTTAGAGTTATCTTCCTTTGTTTACATGCCTCCACGTGGTTGGAAAAATAAAAATCTTTTGGTGCTATAAAAATATATAGGGCTTGTCAATGCTTTTAAATTATTATACTAAATTATTTATGTTGTTCTTGGTGTTGTGAAATATTTTACCCCAGTGTTAAAAGAAGTGAAAATGATTCAATGTGCAGAAAATGTTATAGTCTGTTTTACTTCTTACAATAGCAGATACACAATTTCTCAGTTACTTACATGCAATATACATGTAATAAACGTGTGAAGAAGTGCTTAATTAAATGAATATAGAATAAATGTGACATTAAAAGATTAGAAATGGTAAATGACAATGTAAACAACCCTCAAGTGATCAGCTGGTGATTATTATTCAGGCGCGGATCTAGAAATTTTTCAGAGGGGGGGGGGTGAAGAGGAAAAGAGTTTATATAACTTACGTTTTACATAAACATGTACATGTAGTTAAATAACTCAATAGGATACAGGGTGCAGTGTGGTTTTTAAAAATGGTAGGTTGATCAACCTGTGAAAAAAATACTCGTATCTATAGATTACCTGAAATTTTTTGAAAGAGTGAAAAAAAATCTCTGAACCTGTAAATCCTATTATGTAAAGAAGTAGGGTTTCATTTTGTTATCACAACCAAATTTCTTTATATATTACAACATAAGCCTTTCAATGAACATTTTTCTATAATAAGAACACAATACACTGTTGAAATTTGGGTATTTCTTTCTCTCTCTTATTTTGCAAATCAAAAGGGGGAGGGAGTGCAGCGGGAGCCAATCCAAGCGCCCCCTAATAAAAATGTCCCGGTCAAAGTGTACCCTAATTTTAGTCAAAGTGTCCCCTGATTTTAGTCAAAGTGCCCCCTAACATATTTTTATAGAAAAGATACTGCCACCAAATATTACTTTAAGATTATTCAAATTTCCTTGATCAAAATCTTAGAGGACATACAGACACTTAAACTGTAAAGTACTGAGTACTGAGCACATGAATGGTACTAGTAAGTAATTTGATTGATTCATTATCATGCCTGGAGTGATAAAAGTATTTCAAAAAGTCTGTCAAATTCTTAAAAACATAATTATTTCACACTCATGATGGTGTGTGTCAGTGTCCCTTATGCAAAAAATATAATTGCTTTAATAAATTCTCATATATTTTTATAATATTTTAGATGTTAATGACTAAAATGATTGATCATTATCGAAATAAAATATCTCTTACAGACATGATGCAAAAGGCTAATTTATCTTCATCTTAAACATAGGATATGGAGATAACGAACAGTATTCAATATCAAAGTCCATAAAACAATACAAAATTAGGAGCAGAGCCAACACAGACCTCCGAAACATCAGAGGTTGGATCAGGTGCCATGGAGGTGTGAGCATCCCCTGCTGACCGGTCACACCCGCTGTAAGCTCCTTGTCATGATCGTGAAATAATGGAAAAATCCATCGTCAATTCAGTGTATAAATAATGGACTAACAATTTGTATGAAAAACGTCAGTCAGCATTTACATATTGTAAATCAATTGTAAATCAATATGATTTACAATATGTAAATCAACTTTCAATTGCTTTTCTTGGCTGTACAGCATTTTAAGTCACATAGTAGTATAATATGATAATAAGGACTTTCAAGTAGGCATAATTCTGCTTCAGGCATAATTTTAGTTTTTAGGTTTCATTTATTTTTCCAGGGGTAGCTTCATTGCATTTTTTCGCCTCAAATCCCTGCTTGACGCAGTGGTTTGAGTGTCTGCTCTAGAGTCGCGAAGTAAGGAGTCAATCCTTACATCACATGTTCAAATCCCACTGTGGAACTTGGAGACGGTCCTTCGGATGAGACTGTATAAACTGAGGTCCTTTGCCACAGTAGGTGCTGGCACAAAAAAGATCCCTCAACAATTAGATAACCTTATTTTGACACAGAATTGACTCTGAATTTACTTTGTCAGTGTACGTCGAGTGTACAACAATGAAAACTATACGCATCATATCTAAAACTTTTTTTGTGTGTTTTAAAGGGAGCTAGTGTCAAAACCCACACCTCCCCACCTGAATCTGTGTACCTGTTTTATAATTTTTGTGATAAATAAATGTATGTGCTTGTAGTTATCATCATGAACATTTAATAAATACGGTAAGAGGAAAAATAATCTTTTTCAAAGCACTGAATAGCACAATATTATGGCCAACTGATTACTAATTTAACATGTTCAAATCCTGTTCAAATACATGTACAATTTAATTTTGCAAAATTTGTTTTGTAAACTTTGCTTAAATTGGGTATTAAAAGTTATTTTATAGCAATATACTGGAGGGACAAGTTCACTTAGAGACAAATTTTAAAGATTTAACCTTTGATAATGATGAATAACATCTACATGTACACCAAATATCTTACATGTGACTTTTCTTATGCAAATTTATATATAATGTTGTACAACTTTTGCCTTCATGTTGATTAACTTTTAACACTGAGCCTTAACTTTCAGGTCTCTTCACATCAATATTCTGATGCTGTCCGCCAGTCGCCCATCATACCCCTAATATATTGAAACACAGTGGTGGTACAGAGATTTGGACAATCTATCATCTACAGGATGATGTCAGGATCACAAACAAATAATAAAATCTGTTCAAGAACTTCAAGAAACTGTCCACTGAGACATAGAAACATGTACAGAGGCTATTTCAAAATACACACAAAGCAGGATTTGTCAAAGGTGTAAGTCCCTAGGGCCAGAGGCTCAAGGGAGTTTCTGATCAAAATTTGTCTGTTGTATATTCGTGTACTTATTGTGAGTATTGTTGCCCTTGTTGTCATTTTTGTATATAAACTTTCACATTCTCAACTGGGCCACTTTCAACCAATTTGGCACAAAGAATTCTTGAACAAGGGAATAAACATGATAAAGGCTATAGGAAAAAAAGTTTAAAGAAAATGCAATGCCTTCTTCTTAAGGATAGTCCAGACATGAATGCTGTCTTGACAGGTAAACATGTATTAAATATGTAGATTTAATTGTTATCATTGCCCTGGAGGATTGGGTACAAAGCCGTGAATGGTAGGGCAACAAAAGAGATAAAGATTTTAGCTCACCTGAGCAAAAAACTCAAGTGAGTTTCTCTAATCACCTGTTGTCTGGCCCAGAAAAACTGAAATTTATGTGGAAGCATCCTAGGGTAGTGTATATTGTAAATTGTTCAAATCATGACCCCCGGGGGTAGGACTGGGCCACAATAGGGAATCAAAATTTTACATAGAAATATGTAGGAAAAAACTTTAAAAATCTTCTTCTCAATTAAGAACCACTGGGCCAGAAAAGCTGAAACTTCTATGGAAGCATCCTAGGGTAGTGTAGATTGTAAATTGTTCAAATCATGACCTCCTGGGGTAGGACGAGGCCACAATAGGGAACACAATTTTAAATTGAAAGATGTAGGAAAATACTTTAAAAATCTTTTTCACAGGAACTACTGGGCCAGAAAAGCTGAAACTTATGTGGAAGCATCCATGGGTAGTGTAGATTTTAAATTTTTCAAATTATGACCCATGTGGTAGGGTTGGGTCACAATATGTATTACAGTGGGGGAATGTGGTAAAGAACAGCATGGTCAAAGCTACTCAGGTGAGCGATGTGGCCCATGGGCCTCTTGTTTAGTACAGTTAAGTGTATACATGTATATTGAGTATATTCAATGTTTTATAGTTGAATATGGAAATTATTTCATGTGTGGGACAGGATATTTTGTCTCATTAGTGAAATAAATTCCATATTATTCAAATAAGAAACATTGAATTTTCTGTTTATTACATTTTCTTTGATTTTCCCTTTGTCTACCTCTTTTTTGTAATGTAGTCATACGCTACATGACGTCATAGTTGAGCGGTCGATACGTCAGCTTAAAGTGAAAAACATTGTAAACATAAATTTCAGCAATTAACATTAACATTCGCAGTCTTTATCTCTGTCAGAATGGTTTATTTAAACTTGTTCTCAATCTTATAACAGGCCAAGGAATATTTTTTACAACATTCCTTGTAATGGGAAGGAAAATCTCGAGTTTTCTCGCACTTCTGGTATTTGTCACACTGTGAAAGAATATCATTTTATTTAATGAATAAATTACAGTATTTCACTGTTTAAAATGTAATAAATTGGTGTATCTTATGTACTTCTCAAAATTCTCAAAACACAAATGAATTTTTTAGCTGTAGTGTTTTCTGTTACTTCATGGCTTTTTAATTCAGACAAATACAAAATTCAGTACTGAAGACAATATTCATTGATAAATTTCTTACACATGACCTTGTTAACTTCCTTGACATCAAAGAATGGAAATTAACATTATAATACACACTATTTCAAATGCCTTAATATTTCACTCTATTTATAGGTGTTTTTGACAAAGAAGGTTTAAAACCTTTGTGGACATGGATTTTGAAACTTCTTAAAACTCTGGAAGGATGAGGAAAAGGAACCATTGAAATGGAACATGTTGGACAGGGTTATCACGGTAATATTGTTGATTTTGAACATGCATGCAAAAATTTGGTATGATATTGCATATTACAGTGTATATTAAGAAAAGTTCAACACATGCATTCATTAACTGACATGTATTTAAAGTATGCCCTTTGTCCACAAAGAAATTTTAAAATCTTTTTATGAGGCTGATTGTATGAAATGATAGATAAATCGGCAGAATGCTTCACTTTTTTCTTATTTATTTAATTCGAAAATGAACGTATGAAAATGTACATGTCACATTGGGGAAGATGTTCAGTATTTTTAAATTGGATGTTGGAATTTGTATCTCAAATGGGAGGATGGCTTTTCAAAGAAGATTTAGGTTTTGATTGAGATCAGCGGTTTTCTTCAAGAATGATGCATTTAATATTACTATTACAAATTAATATTACAAATTTGAACAACTCCTAATATCCAGAACTTACAAATACATGTACATTGTACTTTTGAAAAGTGATTCTTGTTAGGTACATTCATATTTGTCCCAAACCAACTGAAAGCAAATACTTTCAGGAGAATGGTTAGACTAAATGACACAATGACAATCTCATATTCATGCAAAACTTTGCACTTTGCAGTCATTTTTGCAGATTCAGATCTGCACATTTAAAGGAGTGGATACATGAGTGTTTTTGAATTAAAATCTGGAATTCCTGACAAGAAATGGCACAAATTAATGCACAAAATATTCATGTATCCACCCCTATATACTACCCCGTGGGGATCCGGGTTAGAATAGGTCCTTAGTACCCCCTTACCCCTTGCCTGTTGTAAAAGGCGACTAAATGGGGCGGTCCTTCGGATGAGACCGTATAAACCGAGGTCCCGTGTCACAGCAGGTGTGGCATGATAAAGATCCCTCCCTGCTCAAAGGCCGTAAGTGCCAAGTATAGGCCTAAATTTGCAGCCCTTCACCGGCAATGGTGATGTATCCATATCAGTATACAATCAATCAATCAATCACCCCTATATACTGATTTGACACTGGTTGCATATTTTTTTTTACACAGAAATATAATCTGACTTAATATTGTGACTTCTTTTTTGAATGACCCTCACCTAGGGATTAGTCACACTTTTCATGTGTAGAATGTCATTTTTAACATGTTTAAAGAAAATATGGTTGTATTTTACTTTCAATTGACATGTCTCAGAGGAGCATCATGGTCCATATAGACTTATAGTCAATTATAAATCTGAGTACATTTTACACAATTTATTGTGCAATTATATTAAAAGTTATTAAATTTTATGTATACAACAACAGACTGATGTGATATGCTGGAAATTCCTTATTAAACGCAAGGAATTTATTATTGCAATTTTGCATGTAGCATCACTTGCGAAATAAAATGTTTCACTTTTATTTTTATGGTACTGAAACCCATGCACATTCTCCTTATCAACCGACCATTCACAAATATATATTCTTGCGATTTAATGTTTTTAAGAGCTATTTTGCAATAATAAGTACTCGCAAAAAAATAAGGAATCTGCAGTGTGTACATGTATAATCTTTGTATTGATGTTTGATTTTTTTTTCAAATCCAGATCATGCATTTATAAAAGATGACAGCATATCAGCACTGCCTTAAGATTGGAGTTGAGACCTTGTATTTTTTTACACAGAAAATAAAGAACAGTTGCTGAATGAAACAGATACTCACAGAAGCAAATGTAATGAGCCCAAAATAATGGTGATCAATTTTGAATGATTTTATTCTCTGGTTGAAATGTTATTGGTACTGATCCAATTTTAGAAGTGGTTGACAACGAATTCTAAGTATTTTGTTGTATGGCTTATTTTAAAACTGTATAAAGCTTGCAGTGTTTATATCAAATGTAATGATATTGTGTAGGAATCAATTTTTTTTTTCAATCAGAATTTCCTAAAAAGACTTTCTAATGTAAATACATGTATGAATAATAGAAGTTTGTAATCGTTTCTTTTACTGTCATTGAAATACTGTTGCAATGAACTGCAATTTTACACAAAAAATGTTTTAACATGAAAGTTTCAAATTTCAAGGTTTAATGAAGTTTGAATTGTGGCTCATATTGCTTTTTATTGAACTATCTCCCTTAACCTTAGATTTGTTGTGCATTCTATGTAATAAATTTAATTTTGGAACATGGGAAAGGTCTTGTTTTGAACTCTGCTGAATTTAACTCAAGCAGAGTAAATGTGTGTATATATACAAATGAAATGCTATTTTAAAAAATATATACATGTACATACATATCTGTGAAAATAATTGATCTTCCCAAAGAGTTATTTCCCTTGTTCACAATGTAAAAAAAAAAAATCCGAATGATATGTGCATGACTGTTTTACAAAAAGCATAGAGATAAATTCATTTTATATGTTTTAGAAATGTCCTCATTGTGTTCAGAATCTGCTTTTCTTACAAGAATTAATGATGTTGAAATAAACTGTGCTAATATTAAAGAGTATTTTTATGTCATGACATGATTATATATTGAACTATCTCCCTTAACCTTAGATTTGTTGTGCATTCTATGTAATAAATTTAATTTTGGAACATGGGAAAGGTCTTGTTTTGAACTCTGCTGAATTTAACTCAAGCAGAGTAAATGTGTTTAATACATGTACATGTATACATATCTGTGAAAATAATTGATCTTCCCAAAGAGTTATTTCCCTTGTTCACAATGTAAAAAAAAATATGAATGATATATGCATGACTGTTTTACAAAAAGCAAAGAGATAAATTTATGTTATATGTTTTAGAAATGTCCTCATTGTGTCCAGAATCTGCTTTTCTTACAAGAATTAATGATGTTGAAATAAACTGTGCTAATATTAAAGAGTATTTTTATGTCATGACATGATTATATATTAGATATTTATTTAAATGCTTTTGGGTCTATGAAAAAGGCACAATGTGAAGAAATGTGAACATTTTTATCCAAACTTGACATTGGGGACAGGGATATACTAAGTATGTGTAAGATCATGATCAAATGACACCTACATGTAACAGTCAGCTAGATTTAAAAGGATTATGTTTTGAAGTTTGCTAAATCATTCTAGGTATGACTAGGAAATTAAATTTGTGTGTGTGTAGGTGTTTTCATACATGTTTTTTTTACCCCCCCCCCCCATTTTTATGTTTTTATGATTCTGACTAAGGGTGTTGGTATTTAACACCCCCACATCCACCACATCCACCACTCATGTGGACAAAGAATTCCTGGAACCATCCATGCCTTCAATAAAAATATCCTAAGTGCTCTGGAAAATTTATTAAACCCTAGAGATAGGGTTTAAAATAAAGAAGTATGAAAATGGGAGAGAAAAATATTGACAGGCAGGATGGATTGGTCTCATCCCTCCTTTTCAAATAAAAAGAAGTTGGAAAAAAGAGAACTTGTGTTTGTTTTTTTGGGGGGGAGTTAATTTCCTGCATAGGGTTTAAAATAAAGAAGTATGAAAATGGGAGAAAAAAATATTGACAGGCAGGATGGATTGGTCTCATCCCTCCTTTTCAAATAAAAAGAAGTTGGAAAAAAGAGAACTTGTGTTTGTTTTAGGGGGGGGGGGTTAATTTCCTGCATGTCTAACCAACTTGACATGTTTAGGGATCCAGGTTCTGAGTTTCTGAGTCATTTAGATTGCACGTAATTCATGATCAGTATTCATAAAAAAATATTTTTGTATCATTTAATAATAACTTGATATATACTTATAGCACTAGCTCTGAAATCCAAATAACTTCAAGCCCCCCCTCCCCCCCCCCCTTTCCATGCCCGGATAGATTTACTGGATAATGGAACCCTAAGTATTCAATGTTCCTGAACCATGATGACGAAAATCTTGTTAACATTTGATGTGTATCTTTAACTGTATAAAGGAATTGCTCGTAACTGGTTTGTCAAGATCTGAGTTGTATATAGAAAACAGACTATAGGTGTGAACACTCTCCTTTACTGCGAACCTAATGACCTTTGACTAGTTCAAGAGAAACCACGTGATGTAAATTTAAATAACAATAACATTAGTAGGGGTGCAACCTAATTTGTAAGATTTACTGGTTGTTATATTTAATTTCATTTTGTTTTCCGCTTGATTTCTGGTACCTAGTTTTTTCCAGTACACCCCCCCCCCTTCTCTTTTAAAATTCTTTTTCAAAGTCATTTTTTTTTATTTCTCCCTCTAATCTTGAAAGTTAATATTTCTTACACAAAAAGTTCTAGATTGATTGATTGATTGTATACTGTTTAACGTCTCTCTCCAGAATATTTCACTGATATGGAGACGCCACCATTGCCGGTGAAGGGCTGCAAATTTAGGCCTATGCTCGGCACTTACGGCCTTTGAGCAAGGAGGGATCTTTATCGTGCCACACCTGCTGTGACACGGGGCCTCGGTTTATACGGTCTCATCCGAAGGACCGCCCCATTTAGTCGCCTTTTACGACAAGCAAGGGGCACTGAGAACCTATTCTAATCCAGGTCAAGTTATAGAAGCAACATCAAAAGCTATGCTGGCAGACATTGCTTATAATTTGGCGTCAATCTACAGTGGAAAAGACAATTCAAGTATACATGTATACACACTCAACTAATTAATGCAATACAAAGGTGATTGATGTACCTGATATACTGGACTATGAATCTGTGATGATACTTATATTCAATGTCTGGTTTTCCAAACTATTTAAAGATAATTTTCTATGATTTTCTTTGACTTGTAGTCTTGTATTTGGGTCCATGTCCACGAGAAGCTCCGACCGAGTTTCCTTATTGTTGTTCTCATGCATAGGACCTATGCTAGTTTGCATTTGCTGGGTTTCGAAGCAGTATGAAACAAAAAGAAAGTAATTAATGTTAATAACCAACATTACATCATTGTAAAACAATACAAAGGTATACGTAAACGATTTTTTAGTATAACCGCGTGCGCGTCGTCTGCTTTGTAAAATGTTTGAATCCAATCTCATCAGTCATAATTAATGCACGTCAATAGTAATATCAGCGTTAAAATGGTTGAGAACAATGCATAAATAGGAAATCATACGAATTTTTAAAGTTACAAAACAACATTTCATGTATTTACAATTGCAAGCAATTGTTATGCGTCTTTACCTTCGAAAGGTTCAGGAGAAAGGAATGTGAAGAACAAACCCGACCTTTTATATACTACACTTGATGTGTCAACCGAACCCGACCCTTAAAAGCCAACATTCAAATAACAAATACTTGAGACCTATAAACTAGTATATAGGCCCCTTCAAATATACTTTTCTCGCAAAATAAATTAAGGCATCTATGTTGTATACACAAGTAGATGCTATAATTGTTTTAGAAGTAAATTAAATACAATTTAAACAAGATGTTTTTGTGAAACACTGATGCCCCCATATGGCAACATAGCAAAGTTTAAACTTTTCTTATATGCAAATTTGATATATTGGTATTTCTTGATATCTCCAAGGTCAAGGTCAAAAGGTCAAGGTTATTGGTATCTAATGAAAGGTCCTGCCACAAAAATACATATGTGAAATATGAAAGCACTAGCCCAACCCTTCAGAAGTTATGGTCAAAGTTACCAATTTTGAAATGTAGATCATACTCCAAGGTCAAGGTCAAAGGGTCAGATTTGGTTGTACCAAAATAAAGGTCTTGTCACAAGGATGAAGTATGTAAAGTATGAATGCACTAACCCTAACCCTTTTAAAGTTATGGTCAAGGTTTGCTTTTTAAAAGTGGGTCAAACTCCAAGGTCAAAGGGTCAAAGTTCTTGGTATGCAATGAATGGTCTTCTCACAGGGATTACATATATGTAAGTATGAAAGCCCCATCCCTTAGCGTTCAAAAGTTATGGCCAAGGTTAAAGTTTTTTCACAAGGATGGAAATCTCCATGGTCAAGGTTAAAATGTCATGGTTGTTGCTATCCGATGAAAGGTCTTCAAACAAAGAATATATATGTGAAGTATAGACGTCTTGGTATTTACTGTTCAAAAGATATGGCTAAAGAAAAAGTTAGGAATTTTTGTGTAAAAGTGGGTCAGACTCCAAGGTCAAGGTCAAATTTGGTGGTACCCAAAGAAAGGTCTTGTCACTAGAAACACAAATGTGAAATATGAAATTCATAGCTCTGCTAAATCAAAAGTTATGGGCAAGGTTAAAGTTGTTGTGGAAAAACAGACAAACAAAGAGACAGACAGAGAGACAGCTAGACAGCTAGACGGACACGACAAAAACTATATAGCCCCCGAAACTATGTTAACGGAGGCATATAAGTATTAATTATATAGTAAATAGTGGTAAAATGTAAGTAAAGACCAAGTAATGTTATTACTTATATACACAAATTTAAGTAAATACAAATTACTAAGTAAAACTTTTTAGTGTGTAAGTAAAACAATTCTTTAAAATACAAAAATCAAGTAAAACATTTGTATTTAGTAATTAACATATATTTCAGTAATTGATTTAATATTTTAAGTAAATGCTTAGTAATGATCTATTACTTATCTTTGTTATTTCAAGTAAAATGACTACTAAGTAAAACTTTTTAAAGAGTGAATAAAAGCTCATGTCATTTAATTTTTGATTCTTCATTTCAATTATTTGGGTTATACTTTTAAAATATTTCGATTTTCAATAAATAAATAAATAAATAAATAAAAGTCGCAAATAGCTTTATATTGATATTTAAAAATGAATCTATAAAAACTGGTTTCCATTTAGTTTATGACACAATTTTTGGAGTTTAGGTATAAAAAGCGGCTACAATGATGCGGGCTTTTTACTGATTTCTGTTTTATAACATCGTGTGTCTCAACAAGTGTCTCTACAAGTTAAATAAAAATTGTGACCCACATTTTAACATAGAGATAACACAATGCGTCCACTAACCAGAAAAAGGTGATAATACTATTATCTTTGGTAATGCTCTTAGTTATGCATAGATTTAAGCAGTTAACCACTTCTATCTAAGACAAGTCAAGACATATCCCCCAACGAAAAAGGAATTGATGACTTTAAGAAAGATATGGTTTTCAATATCAAAGTCCATAAAACAATACAAAATAGGAGCAGAGCAAACACGGACCTCTGAAACATAAGAGGTGGGATCAGGTGCCATGGGGGAATGAGCATCCCCTGCTGACCGGTCACACCCGCTGTGTGCTCCTTGTCATGATCGGGAAATAACGG